TTTTGAGATATTACAGGATAAGTCTCAATGAGATATTATTGTGGACCATAATATTTTATAGCTTATGGACCTGGTACAATGAGTTGCTAATGTTGTGGTATATGGAAGGGAGTATGTAGACAAATTATATATAACCGCCATAACTCACATTTAGTAGTTTATCGTATTATGGTATTTATGATGGACATTATAGAAGAGATTTGTTTATGCGCAACTAATGTTCCTATAGTAAATATTAATATTATGTGATTATTGGGCTAAGTGGGAGAATGTAAATTATTTTCCTATGTATGGGTGGCCCAATAGGTCTAAGGCCCATAATTAATATTTAATTAATTATCAAATCTCATCCGTCCGATCGGTTACTTGATAGACGTACCAGATTAAGTGAGAACATCTATAAATTGGTCCTTTCCCCACCCATTAGGGTTACCGTATTTTTATTTTCTCTTCCATCTCTAAAGGCGGCGGTAACAAAAAGTTAGGGCAAGGGGCGAGAAACCAGTTTTTGAATTAACGCTTCCGCTTCAAGATAATGGATTCCGCTTCAGGTATGTTTTCTATGACAATTACATGTAAGATTATCATGTTCAAGATCGTGGTATGAATTAAAGTTTATGCTTACAAAACATCCTTATAGAGAATGCTTCCCCTTTAGTGGATCTTACGTGGCATGAATCCAAATTAGTCAGGGAGGTCCTAAAGCGGTATTTGAACAACGGGTGGAAAAAATAAAAAATTAAAAAAAAGAAGAAGAAAGGATTTACTTGCTAAAAATGTGTCTCACTTCGCAATGATAAGATCCACATAAACTGCAGATGGCTTTAGTTTTTTTAAGTATTCCTCTGTTGGTAATCAATCATTCACACACATGTAGGAAACATATTTTATTTATTTGATTGACTATGGACCTAAATAGTATGTGGTTTTGTTTTCTTGTATGTTGGTCTTTGGTCAATAAAATATACAAAATTTCTTCTGTGTGTCTGTGACTGTTTCTTCTTATTACCAGGAATCCTAATTGTTGTAAAAAAGATATGTGTCTTGGAATCACTAAATATTTTCTCTCTGTTGTTGCTGTGATAATAGCAACCCTTTATAAATGAGAATGAGAATGGCTACCCTTTATAAATGAGATACATTAGTTACATTCATATATGAAAAATCGAGACATGATAATATAACACAGGGTCTTCCTAATCACTAAATAATTCTACGATATATCACCAACTGCTCATTCAGCAATAGTTACATCTCACATCTCACATCCCACATCCCAAATCATATAAATATGAAAGATAACAAAAACCAAAAATGTAAAATGAGATGCAGCAACAGGGGACAGATCTCAGACATTAAGCTGAACAGGATTAGCTTTGCTCGAGTTGCGTTTTCGTGTAATCACAACATAATAAACCCCAAAAGCTAAAACAATAGTAGCAAACACAAATCCAAGAAGGATTCCAACAACCCCACCAGCTCCTATTCGCCTTTCGCCATCCTCGGGTGGTGATAAGCTTTCATGTGCTAAATTAGACTGAACACTTGAAGCTGTAGGTAATTCTGAACAACCTGATTCTGATGTATTATTATCACATAAACTTTCAGTAGTACTGTTTTTCTTTTGTCGAGTCTCAGGGTGGAAAAATGAGTATGCATCTGGTGAGAATGCAATAGGACTTTCATAAACAAGGCCATGTGGAGCTCTTTCTTGACCTTTAACAATAAATGGTAGGCATAAAACAGCCAAAAAGAAGAGATAGGAAGCCATTGGTAATGTTATATATTTGTTTGCTTTGTTTCTTGGTTTTATATGTAGAAATCTTGATATGGTAAATGGAGCTGTTTTTGGCCGTTTGAATGAGGGAATGTTTGCGCTTGGTACGTGATTTTATAAGTAGAAATAAATGAATGAAGTGGAGGTTGCTTAGAATTGAATATATTGTAGAAAAGAGGGAACCAAATGATAGGAATACTATCAATGGCTATAACTCCATTAAAGTAATTCTCATCACTCCCATGGGATTTTTTTTAGTATCAAATAAATGTGATGCATATTAATTCATAGAGAAAGAAGATGATTATAAATACAAAGGCATTTATCCAAACAAAAAAAAGAAAAAGGAAAGGTCTTGCTTAAGCACTTGGTTACATGAACTTCAAATTCACCTCCACTTAGTTAGTAATAATAATCTTTCGAGTAATTTTTCCAAGTGGTTTACTCCCCTTGTCTATTGGATGATTTTTCTTATTTTTTTAATCAACATAATTAGTGTTATAATCACTTCATTATGGCTACTTGGTAGGATAATAGTAAAAGAGAAAATAAGATCATTATAGAAATCGTTAACATGATATACCTCATAGTTGGGTTGTATCTTCCTTAATTGTTAAATATGATGTTGTATCTTATCGTTTAAATCCGACCTCTATTTCAATGGAACAAGAAGTTTAATATTTATCATGTAGTCTCCTTGTATTAGCTCATTATGCATTAATATAAAATGTCTAAACACTTACTCAATTCCGGTATTTACACCAAAAAGTAATAGTTAAGTCAAGTCTATATACAAGACAAATATTTTACATNATATATATATGTTGTTAAATTCGCCCCGCTTGTGGGATTATACTGGGTCTGTTATTATTATTGTTGTTTGAATTCCGTTAACGCAAGAAAGCCTCTTGTATAGAAGCAAGTGGGGTTTCAATGGGGGAAGTACACAAATAGCCATTTTAGGGCTGTTATTTAGGGATTAGTCAGTACTTATATTTGTTCTGAAAATTTAAATTAGAAATACTTAGGACTTTGTGTCCTGAAAAATTGAATTGAAAAACTGAAATTTAGGATACAGTGGCTAATTTCTAAATAGCAGCCCTCTAAAATGGGGAGCATTTGCATCTATTCCTGCTTTTTGGGTCACGTTTTAACTTGTGCCCGCTTTGCAAAAAAAATTGCAAGCGTACCCATTTTTTCACGTAACTTCATCATACGGGGCTGAAGTAGCAAAGGCATCACACAAAACTTCAGCATTCTAATAGAGGGGACTGAAGCGTGCTGAAGTTTTTGTTTTGTAACTGACGAACTTCAACTCTAGAGCTGAAGTTTTTGTTTTTGTAACTGGAGAGTAGCGAAGCTGAAGTTTTTGTTTTGTAACTGGCTGAAGTTTTTGTTTGTATTTGTAACTGGGGAACTTCAGCTCTAGAGCTGAAGTTTTTGTTTTGGAACTGTTGAACTTCAGCCTTCTCAGAGTTGAACTTCAGCCTACTACATTGTGAATGCTCCATATATCTTTTCAGCTTGTTGGAAGGTTTGTCTCTTAATTATGTCTTTTTCTTTTTCAGTATACTCTTAACTCTTTTATCAATTATTTCTTGCAAAATACTTATGGATAACTGACGCACTGCAGAATGCTACAACAGTAAACATATTAAGGAGCTTTTAGATATTTGTTTGACTGCTATAAGGCTATAGTTTTCAAACTTTTAATGCCAAAAAAAAAAAAAAACAGGCAAAATAATAGATGAACCTATGTCGTCGCACAGGATAAAGTCTAGTTGCATCCAGTGGTTGCATCAGACGAGTGAATGAATGAATGACATATTTTCCATATATTTTTATCACTAAAGTGTACTCTCACTTTTGAGGAGGAGAAAGGGGACTGAAGTTGTTTAAAAAGTGGGTACAAGTTAAAACTTTTTTAAAAAATAGGTATAGATTCGCCCCGTGCAATTTTTACCTAAAATGGCTACCTAGTGTCATTTTTATTTTTGTTTTTTAAGGTTATGGTTTCGAGTTTTAGCTATACCTGTGACATTTTAGCATTTCTTATAATCCCTTTTGTCTCTAATCTTGTCTTCGATTCTTATTAAAAATAGATATTATTACAATCATGTCTCTCACTATGTTGTCTGCAAAGTGGAAAACTGCTTTATCTGCTTTCAATTCTGTGCCAACTCTTTTTCTAAGCTATGAATAAGAACATAAATTCTTTTTGGCAAAGAAAAGAATTACACTCTCTATTTTGTAGGGATGTGGAGACTGCATGCGTGCATGTGTGGTGTGTGTAAATATTAACTATTCATTGTTAAAGGGCACGCATTCATTATTTCACGAGTTTCACTTTTATATACAACCTCTATGGTCTGGGGTCACAAGAATTGTCCCCTCTAAAAATAGTAGGCACCTCTAATTTAAGTGTCACAAGAAATGGTCCAAGGACAGAGAGGAATTCCAATATCATTCACCTCTGAGCTAGTACATTGTAAAAACATTGCATTTATAATTAAAAATGTTAATATTACATGAAGTTTTCTAGTTGATTAGAAGGGGTACATGTACCTTCCTTTATTATGGCAAAAAAAAGAAGAAGAAAAGAGCTGAAGCGGGCCAGTTCTTGAAGATGTCTCGTATTTTAGTATTGGGACAAGTATTGTTATATGTGACTCCTCTGTGATTGCTTCTTTGATTTGCGAAAACTAATAAACCTAACACTAAGTAAGGGCATACATCTTTAATGTATTTCATGGTGGAAATTTATTCGTTAGTGCTACTGGGTGCTATTGTTATTAGTGTTGGTAAAATTGACAAATGACCACTTTTCAGTCCCTATAATTAAGAATACCTACTGTCCTAGATATTCAAATTTCATAGGTGAAACTCCATACAGAATTTGAAACTCCATGATATTGGCTGTCTAACACAGGGTGAAAAAGTGACTAGGCCCAGTGGCGAAGCTAGGGATTTTTCTAAGGGTGTTCAATTTTAAAAGAAATGAGTAAAATTTCCGATAAAGAGTATTCAATATGTGTTATAAACCTCTAAAACGTAATATTTTACCTATGTATACAGTGAAATTTTTTGACGAAAGGTGATCAATTGACCACCCTTATGACCATGTGACTTTGCCACTGGCTAGGCCGNTGCTGGAACTTTTAGTGTTTCAGCAAAGTAATGACTTTTTCAATAACTTTATAAATGCTGATTATTTTTCAATTACCGTTCCAAAAATTAATTTAGCCCGTCCTATTTAATGTGGGGGAAGTGCACGGTTAGCCACTAATAACACATGTATTTACTTTTAAGCCACTATTTAAAATGTCTTTAGTCTTTAGCCACTGCTTTAATAAATTTTACCTGCCCGGACGAAAACACCCTTCTGCTTATAAAGTTCAGGACCAAGTGTCCTTAACTTTTGAGCTTGCAACTCTAAGTTCAGGACTTCAGGATTACATGTCCTTAAATTTTGAACTTGGAACTCGAAGTTCAGGACCACCTGTCCTTAATTTCTGTGCTTGTAATTCTAGGCGAGGAGGTGTGAGCGGTTGGTCGTGGTGGGTTCGAGAAGAGGTAGAGGGAGGCCTAAGAAGTATTGGGGAGAAGTGATCAGGCATGACATTGTACGACTAAAGATTTCCGAGGACATGACCCTTGATAGGAAGGTCCGGAGGTCAAGCATTAGGGTTGTAGGTTAGGGGGTAGTAGAGCTTTCCTTACTTCATACTGGGGGTGAGGCGGGGTTGGATTAGGGTTGATCTTAGATGGCTTGCAGTTTATGTTGAATCCACACTATCCTTGCTGTTTATCTTAGCCCCGGGCCTTAGTTACTGGTTACTGTTATTGCATGTCATTTATCTTTTGGTTGTTATGCTTTTGTTGCTATTACGATTTCTACTGGAGTTACTAATGAATTGTGTTTTCTTTTCTGAGCCGAGGGTCTATCGGAAACAGCCTCTCTGCCCTATCGGGGTAGGGGTAAGGTCTGCGTACACATTACCCTCCCCAGACCCCACTTTGTGGGATTTTACTGGGTAGTAGTAGAAGTAGTAGTGGTAGTAGTAGTGGTAGTAGTAGTGGTAGTAGTAGTGGTGGTAGTGGTGTAGTAGTGGTAGTAGTGATAGTAGTGGTAGTAGTAGTGGTAGTAGTGGTTGTAGTAGTAGTAATGGTAGTGGTAGTGGTAGTAGTAGTGATAGTAGTAGTAGTGGTAGTAGTAGTAGTGGTAGTAGTAGTGGTAGTAGTGGTAGTAGTGGTAGTGGTGGTAGTAGTTGTTGTTGTTGTTGTTGTTGTTGTTGTTGTTGTAGCTCTAAGTTAAGGACTACTTGTCCTTAACTTTTGAGCTTGTTAGTCTAAGTTCAGGACCAAATGTCCTTAACTTTTGAACTTGTAGTAGTAGTAGTAGTAGTGGTAGCAGTAGTGGTAGTAGTAGTAGTGGTAGTAGTGGTGGTGGTAGTGGTAGTGGTAGTGGTGGTGGTAGTGGTGGTGGTAGTGGTGGTGGTAGTGGTGGTGGTAGTGGTGGTGGTAGTAGTAGTGGTAGTAGTGGTAGTAGTAGTGGTAGTAGTAGT